CCCCTCTTTAGCATCTTGCAGATCATTGTTTTTGATATTTATTAATTTATAGACCACAAGCTCACTGTCTTCAGTCACATCAGTCTCGTCAACAGGTTTTAGCAGAAACGCTGAAAAATCCTATCATACGCTGCCTGCTCCACGACAAAGCTAGCAGCTGGCACTTAAACAAATGATTTAGCATTAAAGAGTCAGATGTGACCCTATTGGACCAAAATGGAGTCAAAACAAGAGTAAATATTGGATTTACTTTGATCCAATGAACATAAAAATTACAAGAAGTAGCTGTTATTAAGTGTCAGATCAGAAAAAGTCAATCATGGCTGACTAAAATCATACCTACCGACCCTCTAACCAATCGATTTAATGTCATTATAACATATTCAGTAAAACAAACATTATGAACTACGCCTGTTTTGCTGTGTTCACACTCAAGCGTTAAGTGTTGACAATACAGGTGGGTGAACACCTTAACACATCCAAGTCGGTGATTTTTTAGATGAGCAGCCACACCGACAGCCTCTTTGTCATGATGTCAGTCAGTTTGGAGCCGACTCTGACTAAATGAATGTTCAATAAATTAGACCTAGCAGCCTCCATCAGGTTGGGCGAATACAAAGTCGTGAAACTCGGGAGTTGTGACACTCCAGTCGCCAAAAATAATGAATTAACCCTGTCAAGCTATTGATGTAATGCTTTTCTCCATATAAAAGCAACCCTCAATTCACAATCGACCAGTCGCCCTGGAGACTACAGGCCTAGAAAACAATAAATAAAGCATTTTCTCAATGATTGTATGCATTTTTAGACAATATTCAGCGCCAGCTTTGTTACAGAGCAAAGCAAACAGCATGCATTGATAAAGAAGGACATCTTTTACTCATTTAAACGCTTTTATTGTTGTATTAATATCTACTAAAAGTGTCTCTTTGGCTGTCTTCTGTTTACTTTTCTGCTCTTTCTTCCTGTCTTGTATCATTATCTTTAATCTTTATCTCCACCTATCAATACTGCCACTCCTCCTTTGTCTTCCTGTATTATATCTTTTGAAAAGACAAGATCTTCATGTTTCCTTCTGTCTCTCTCTCTCCCTCTGCTGCACTTTGAACAGAAGACATGGTTGAACAGCTGAATTCTGAGCTGTCTTCATCCTCCTCTCTGTATCTTAACTCGCTGCTTTTCAAAGCGCAGCATCTGCCGTGCCTGTTGGACCACTGCAATACAGAGTTTTAGCTACCTCCAGCTCCCTCCCTCCTTGTATTTTCTCCCTTTCCCCTTCTCCTCCTCCTCCTTCTACAATACTCTTCTCAATTCCCTCCAAAGTAGAGGTCAGCCTTTAAGTGTTGTATCATTGCAGAGAAGAGCCTCGCTTTCTATCTGCCTCCTCGCCACTGTGGTTGAAGCTCCATCTGGAGCAAGGACTTGCTGCTTTCTCAATTTATCCTTCCCCACTTCCCTTCCCTCATTCTCTCTCGCCTCTCTCTGTTTTCCAAATTGTTTATTGCAAAAATGTTGGCCCGTTGCAATGAAAACTTCTCACCCTGTATCCGTCTCCTCTCTCGCTGTTCTCAACTCTATCTCTCGACTGCTTGACTTCCACTGTCAAGTGCTGTATTAGCGCATAAGGGAGTCCATCTCTCTCATCGCCCCTTATTTCAAATTCTCCAAATATCCCATCACTCCTTCCATCCATCTGCACCACTCTCTCCTCTTTTTTCACTCCCAAGAACTAAAGTCTGTCGTGCGATGCCGGACCACCGAACATGAACTAGAAAATGCTGGAAATGACATTTTGCCTCATCAGGCTTCAGGTTCTCTTGTTGGATTTAATTATTCGTCTGGTTGTACTTTTTTTTTTTTTCCTCCATCATGCCAAATGAATCAGAAAACATCTTTTTATTTCAATCACAGCCCAGCAATGTCCCCGTCTTTATACTCAAACTAGCTGCTGTTCGTGCTGCTTTTCTCTGCTGACAATGTTTTGAACCGTGGGTTTGAGCCAGCGCAGTCAACAGTAATCATTAGAACCAAAACTCCATATTTATAATGACAGACCTTATTACAGTGTCATTTTTTTTTTCCCCAGCACTAGCCGTCCCTCTCACCTCTTTTTTCTTTTCAAATGCAGCCTCCGTTGTGTGATGTTGGACCAACCGCACCAAAGAGTGGGAAGTCTCTCTTTTCAAAATATCATTAAAAGCCGGCCGGGCTCACCAGCTAGTTAGGCCATCAAGTTGCACAAAATGGGTTATTAAAAAGCTGAGACAGTTTTTCTTTGAGAGTAACTGTTTGAATTGGACGCGTTGATGCACTTTAGCTCATCAGACTCCGGGGTTTGTTTATATCCTCTGTTTTCATTTGTTGCACTTATTGAGCACTTTTGGCACCATGCGGTATTACAATAACACGCTGTTTGCTATCTCAGTCTCCTAATGTCTTTGTTTGGGGCTTTTTCTCTTGAACAAAGCTTTTGACCCAGTCTGCACAAAGTAATTATTAGTGCCTTGTTCAGCAACGGTGCAGCAGAAAACATCTTTTTTTTTTTTTTTGCAAACCCATCACCTAAAAATTGCATTGATGTGGAACAAATGCATCAGCAAATATCCAGGAAACATAACTATGCTTTTTATCAACATACACTCCATTTACATCTAATTACTTCCTGCATCTTGGGCGGATCAGATGGCTTGCCAATCTGAAGAAGAGGAAAAAAACTGTGTAAATGCATCCTAGATCCATTTAGGATGGCGTGAAATCCTATTGTTTAATTCACTTCCAGAGTTGGTTTGAGACGCTGAAGAGATGTAAATGCAGCCACGTACTTAACTTTTACTCCTCCCAGTAGGGTAACTGTGTTAGTAAGCACTCTGAAGTAGCCTCTACATCGTCCTTCCCCTGTGATAACAGCAGCTGAAGTGAAAGTAGTCATTGTTCTCCCCGTCGCTTGAAACAGTGGAGGGTGCAACAATCTGTTGTAATGTTTATTTGATCCCAGAGCAGAGCAGACACTTAATAATCTGTGTAGGTGAAAGAAACGTACGTCTCACTTGTGGTTGATAAATAAAAGTCATTTCTGTGTGTGTGTGTATATGTATCACCTTATAGATAGGTGGTAGCTGTTAATGCTAATTGTTGACTGCTGTAAATGAAGTGTTAAGGTACATGTTATGCATCTTATGTTATTGTTCTTTGGGCTTCTTTCAGTTACACTGACTTGTAGCGCCACCAAGGAAACATTAACTTGGTAAATATTTGACTAAAACTATGATTTCTGTCTAAATCCTAATCAACATAATAACAAAATTGTCAGAGCTGCCACAAAACTGTGTCTAATACACTAACCCAGCCCACCTAACACCTCAGTGGCAAAGACATAGACTAGAAGATATTTAGAGTCTGACCAATGCTGGATTTCTGAGGCTAATGGAACAATTTTAAGGAGTAAAACTTCTCAATGTATCACTCATTCTGAACATATTTAAGTATCTACTGTGAAGTAGTGAATGTAAATAATGTAGTTCATGGCAACTCAAGGCCTTAAACATACGGATGAACTTCTTGAACTGAAGATTAAAATGGAGAACAGGCAGTATTGTGACAATGGAATAGTGTTTACACAGCTTTAAGAAAATATAACAATATAGTATATGCAAGCTTTGTATTTAAAAGGGAAAATTATTTACTTTCCAGCAATGTTTTTCACAAACATCTTACTATGACGACACTGCTTGACTCCGCACCTCACTCTGCAACATGTGCTGCGAGTGTCTGTAAAAGTTGAAGCTGCTCTACTGGACAAACTATGTTGTGGCCCCATTTCTACAGCATCTTTTTCTCATTTATGTTCTGAACACACAAAAAAAGTTTCATATTGCTGCATAAATGCTGATACTGATGTATCTGTAATAAGCCAGTATTGGTTAATAATACTGGCTGAATACGTTGCCAGATAAAATGACCCAGGAAGTATGCATGTGCTCAGGAAAACATATCAAATTAGCTGCATCTGTACGTATTTTGTCGGAAATTGCCTCATTTATACTTTGATAGTTTCTCTTGTCCCCTGTTCCCGATGTTTATCTCCATCCCTCACGCTCGCTCACCTCTCTTCTCTCCAAAGTACAGGGTTTGTTGTGCAGTGTTGGACCATTGCAGCGAGGAGTTGTCGCTCTCGGCCACCCGACAGGTCAGCGTCACCGTCCCCCCCACGGACACCGTCTCATCTGAGGTCACCGGCTGCAAGGGGTCGTCGTCTAGGTAACAGCAGAGAGGAGACACAAAAAATAAAAATCATAAGACAGAGTGACAGAGAGGCAACGGAGACAAGTCACAGAGACACTGCGCTCATATGAAAACACAAACAAAAATAGAAGCACACAGCAACACACAAATCAGATAAACCCACAAAATGCATTACCCGCCTCACTCTCTCTCTCTTTCTCCCTATCTGCCCCCCGCCCATCTCTTTCTCTGCTTGTCAGATTATCTATATATCTCTATCTGTCTTTCTGAAAGCACAGACACAATGCGCGGACATGCTGTCAGAGGGACAAAAAAAGCTGACAAATGGCTATCTGGTTGTACGTCTGCGAGGCCAATGTAGGAGCAATGAGTCAGTAGCAGCCCAGGCACCCAGAGACTGCACGACCTGAGGGACCAGCAAAAGATGAAGAGACCGTGGCAGACAGTGGCTCCCGACGGGTCAAAGCAACAACAAGCGCGCTGTCTCGTACCTCTAATGGCGTCGCAGCCCTCTTTTGTCAATATCTGTGTCACTTTTTAGCGCCATGCATATGTATCGGCTGCTACAGAACAAGCTCAAACGGGATAGGCATTATGGAAATGAGCAGGTCAGAGGGAAAGAGAATGAGAATACAAATGACCCGGCATAATGAAGGGATTCTAAAGGCTGTAGCTGAAACTGGAACACCACAAAAACCACTGAAGAGTGAACTGTCTGGGTGTGTAACAGTATTCAAATTGGCTCAAATTATGGTATTTAACAGTGCTCCCTTGATAACGGGTGATGGTGCACGCTAATTCCGCTCTCCATTCAGCACGGGTGGCAAATGACTTTGTGAATCAGAAACAAGACGTGTGTACTAAAATATGCAGCCCCTCGTTACGGCAAGTAATGCGGTCGCTCGCTGCGCTTCTTTTTTTTTTTTTTTTAACGTGAAGTTACCGCGGCCTCCAGTGCACCGAACCCTCCCTTTCCCGCTCACTTCAAAACGTGCCAGCGCTCGCTCAAACTAATCTTGAGCAAAACAAAAATATGGCATAATTGACGACAAGACCAAGCCAACGGAGGGAACATCTCTTAAGAAGATATGCCTCAAAGCGGTCCCCTCACCCCTGAAAATACGGCGTGTATAAATAGTTTAATTGGAACCAAATTGTCAAGCGGGAGACAGGTTTATATTCGGTGCGGAGCGTTATCACATCCTTGCACCGGCGGTGGAATTGATTTTTTTTTTTTTTTTTTTTTTTCTGCAGGAAGAACATCTGCTTAAGTGCGCTTCGGCGGAACTCCCATCAAGACATGAAAGAGGGGGGCACACGAAGAGAGGATGCAGAAGAGGAGGCGAGCAAACTAACTGCATGTAGCATCAAAAAAACACACATCACAGTACATGAACCGAGAGCAGCAGGTAGGGAACTGTGGGCATCTTTTTAATAATTTTAAAGCCGGACAGCCGGTTCAGCATCTCCGAGAACATCAGTTATTAGACAAGAAGAAAAAAAAAACCTTTACATTTGCCTCTGGGCTGTGAGGATACAGAGCGATAACAGCTCTTAAAGGTACAGCCGCTGTTTGCCAGTAGCTTTAAAAAGACACTCAGAGGCTTCCAGAGCCCTCCGAGTCAGGAAGTCGCTGTCTCTGGTGTTTCGCTGCAGCTTTGACCTTGTGGTTAGTTTATCTAAGCACCGTGATGGCTGAGGGCTGACTGTGTGGTCAAGTGCACCGCGGATTAGTGTCTCCTTTAATAGCATCTTGGGCTAATTCTTGTGGCTGATCGCAAGAGCTCCTTCACTTGGCACGAACACTTTGGGTAAATTGGCTGTCCCAGTGCATCAGTCATCAAGCCAACCGCAATGATCTCCGACAAGTTAGCCAAACTTATGTCGTGCCTCTGGCCGCCACAGAGCGCTGGCATTTCTGACTAAGAACAACCTTTAAATGAGACTCAGTGTGACATTTGTGCTGCTAAAACAATATCAGTGGTCAATTAGTGACTCTTCAGGGAGGAGCTATGTGCTGTTCTGTATTTGAAAGGATCCGTTATATAACATAGACTATTTATCCCAAGAAAATCCCAGAGATTCTACTTTTTATTATTGGTAGACTAAATGTCAAACCCACTTTGTAGGAAATCATTGCAAAAATGCAGCCAAAGACTAACAAGAGTGTACAGCTTTTCCAAAATGCAGTTAAAAACGATCAAGTCTGATGCTTTTTGGAGCTGAAAACATGAATGACTATTAGCAGCCGACTGTAAAAACCGACTGTGTGACATAAACCAAAAAATGTACATAAACCATCAAAACACAGACATAAAGCCACACAAACAAGACAAGAAAAGAGACACAAAATGACACAAAGAAGACACAAACGAAACATAAAGCAACAAAAATTAGGCAAAAGCAAAATACAAAAGAAAAACCACACAAAACAACACGAACAAAGCTCAAAATAACGCAAACAAGATACAAAATGACACAAATGAGACACAAAACACGCAAGTATTACACAAAATGACACAAGAAAAACACGACACAAAGCAACACAACGCGTCAAAAATGAGACACGAAATGATAAAAAGCGAGACAAATCAAAAGGAGGCAAATGAGACATTAACGCCAAAAACAAGACAAAGTCACACAAAGCCAGATACTAAAGACAAGCAAGACACAAGGGTACACAAATAACACAAAACAACAAAAAATACGACAAACATGAACGAGCCAGATACAACAGAAAAATGAGACACAAAACAACCCAAACAAGACACAAACCGACAAAAACAAGATACGAAACGACACAAAATGACAAAACGAGACACAAAAACTACAGCCAGTGTTGATTACACTGGCAACACAATACATGATTGGAAAGTCCAGTTACAGTATTGAACAGAAAACCTCATATTCTACTGCAGAATCTGTCATCAATTATACAGGATGAGGTGTGTCAGAAAAGTTCAGGACTGGTGTCACAAAAGATATCTTTCAAATCCAAACTACAAACTACAAGTTTTCTCCTTCCAAGTCATCCCCCTGGAGTCAAACACACTTTCCCAGTCTTCTCTGCCTTCACACCGCCATGCACTCCTGGAAGGATTCTTCCTGAGATCCTCTGCAGCTCCATCATCGCAGCCATCTTGATGTGGTCCACGTCTTCAGAACGGGTCCCCTTGATGACCCCCTTGAGCTTGGGGAAGAGGAACAAATCCCACAGAGCCAGGTGGGGTGAGTAGGGAGGTTGCTCCAGCACGGTGATGTTCTTCTCAGCCAGGAACTGTGGGATGCTCAGGACATTGTGAGCAGGTTGTCATGGTGAAACAGCCACGACTTGTCCTGCTACAACTCTCGTCTCTTCTCACTGAATGAAGCAAACGCTGCAGGATCTCTTTGTGCTGGTTGATCGTCTGAAGGGGAAAACTGGTAGTTTGTAGTTTGGGTTTGATGTATATCTTTTGTGACACCAGTCCTGAAACTTTTCTGACACACCTCGTATAAAGCTCCTACCTCCATCTCCGTCTCACATCTCCACCTACCATTTTGCAACTGGCTGCAGCTCGAGCACACCAGCTCACGTACTCACTACTCAAATACTGTAAAACGATGTGGCAAGTTGTAATATTTGACTAATTCAGCCACGTTTGTTTAAGCAGAAGATGTATTCTGAAGAAAATAACGATATTGGTTGTTTAGGTTCTTAACTTTTGTGACACACGTCCTAATTAACTGTTTAAGTAAATTATAACTGACGCTGTGAAAATACAGTAAAATACCGGCAACAGTAATTTTACAGGAAAATTTGTCACAGTGCAGCTTATAAGAAGTCATAGTCCCAGGTCATAGTATGTAGAAAACCAACAGCGTGTAACATCACAGACAATAATCTCTATCCGCTTGTGCAACCAGCATTTAATTAGAAATTTACCGTAAAACATCATTTCTTCATACTTCAGTCTGTAACATAAGGCCTACTTGAGTCTCAAAGTGGAAACCACAGCGTTTAAAAGTCTTGTGTACTCAAATTGTGTGTAATAAATGACGATCCATTCGTAGGTCCGCCGGAGCCAAAGAAAATAAATTCCACAAATCTCCTTCTCTTTGTCATTTCGCACATTTGTTTGTCTTTTTGCTATTTGGTCATTTCTGGGTCTTTCATTTTCATTTAAAACTATTGATCCGGGCCGCCAGGTTCCTTAAAGGTTAGAGACGAGAGGAGAGGGTCCGTGGAAGATTGCAGGTTCGATCCATGAACTGGCAGAGTAAATCTGAAGGCAGCACTTAAAGTTTGTTCATTAACGCGGTGCCGAGGCGTTTTTATTTCCGACCGAAAAGATCAGGCTGTGGTTGGAGTTCGTTACGCAAACTTTGCGTATCAATTAATGCGAGCAAATAAACAAAGGTTAATCTCACTCTTATGGACCATAAGGCTTAAAATGCTTTAATGATGATTAATGGTGCTCCTCATATTAAATCTAAAGCTCCACTAAGGCACACAAACGGCTGGATGGTGAACAGCACATGAGCATTGTTCAGTCATATATTACTCACATATAAGTTTGGCTGTACGGAGACACTCTGTGAACCCTTTAGCAATATTTTAAATGGTTTTAGATGGTTAGCCGCAGCGGGGATTAAGATGGGTGCCAGAGAGATGAGACTATTTGAAATAAGTTAATAAAAAAACAAGCTTGTGTGGTTAGCACATTTTGTGATACATTCTTTTGTGGCCAAAACCGGTTCACACAAAGCGCTAGAGAGTCGCTCCGCCACGAGAATACGACCCCAATAAGCCTCAGATACAGATACAGCTGTTCTTCTTACCTCCGAAGCTCCTTAAGAGCAAAGTTAAAGGGGGGAAACCAAGTTCAGCCAGAGTTTAAACAGTTAAGTCGGGCTAAATACTCAGGCTGCAAAAAAAAAAAAAAAAAAATGAAAGGAGGAACCTATCTATCCTTAGCAGACGTTAAGTTAAACACTGCAGCTCGCTCTTCTTTCTTCTTCTCCCTTCTCA